CAGTAAAGCACATGGAGTTGACGCCCTTGGACCTCGCGACCTCCATCGACTACCAGAACCAGCAGTCGAAGCCTATGCGGATATCCTCAACGCAGTAGAGCATGCAGGCATCTGGCCACTACAAATCTCAGGCACTATTGCAGCCCTCGCAGCCAAGAAGTCTGGAGGCGACAGGGTCCTCGGCATGCTACCTCACATGGCCAGACTCTGGTCTCGCATCAGATCGACTGCATCTACATCCTGGACCCAAGGCCTGGACGACTTCTGGACTACAGCCATCAAAGGTTCCTCAGCTCTCCAGGCCGCCCTACACAGGGCCTTGTTAGACGAGACAGCCTCAGCACTTGGCATACAGTCAGCCACAGTGCTATTAGACATCCAGAAGTTCTACGACAATATCAAGCTCGCCAACCTCATTATGGTCGGCCTCAACTGCGGCTTTCCCCCCATCATTCTACTACTGGAAGTACAGCTATACCTGGCGCCCAGATTCTTGCGCAGTCGACAATGGGTGAGTATGCCTATCTTCGCCTCCAAAGGCATCATCGCAGGCTCCCCGCACGGCGCGACCTTGGCACGACTCATATTACTTCCTATTCTACGGCAAGCCCAAGCTCAGGCAGAGCTTGCCCAGATGTGGACCTTCGTAGACGACACTGTCCTTCGAGTCGAAGGAGTCCTACGCACACTGCAGAAGCACCTCCCCCGTGCCGCCAAGACGCTCTGCGACGGTCTGAAGGAGTTCGAGCTGCCTATCTCTGACAAGACGGTCATCATCGGCTCCACCCCCAAGGTCCGCAAATCGCTAGCCAAGAAGTTGCGGCAGTACGACATCCCAGTCACTGCGACCGCCACGGCCGTCGACCTCGGAGTTGACGCGGCTGCGGCTACTCGACGGGCACAAGCCAAAGCCAGGAAGCGACAGAGCTCAGCCGCAGCTAGGTTTCGCAAGATACACCGACTACGGAGCACTGCTCAGCAGGCTCGAATCTCAGCAGGACTGCGGCGCACTGGCGCTCTCCCCGAAGGAGTTTTCGGTCATCAGGTGCACGGTCTCGCTCGGCACGCTCTACTACGATGGCGGCGTCAGGCCGCTATTGCGGCCACGGGAGCAGCAGCGGGCCGATGCCTCATCTCCCTCCTCGGCGCCACCTTCGACGGCATGGACCCAGGAGTTTCCCTAAGGATCGAATTCATCGAGGCTTGGCTGCAGCACTGGATACGCCACCCGAGCACGCACGCCAGGATCATCAGAGCATGGCCAAGGATCAAGACCACCTTGCCCGCCGCAGGCCCCAAGCTGCGGCGCAGGGTCAAGGGGCCCACTGGCGCGGCCATCGCGACCCTGCTGGAGGCCAGCTGGGACCCGACCTCAGCTACCACGTGGAGACGCACGAAGGACGGCTACACCGAGGAGTGGAACCTCCCCCCTGCCGATGACCCTGACCTCCTCGACGCCGACATCCACACAGTATTGCAGGACCTCAGCGAGGATTTGCACAGGCTCCTCTGGACTCAGGCCGCTACGCATGACCATGGTGACACGCTGGCTGGAGGTGCGGACATGGTCACCATCCGCATTGAACAAAGGAGGCTCCTCGCAAACGGTGATTCCAGCGACTGGGCCCTCAACAACACCGTCATCAGTGGTGGACAATGGACCAGAGACCGCCTCCACAACGCGGGCTACCAGATCGACAAGAACTGCGACCGATGCAGCGCAGGAGTTCCTGAAACCTTGTTTCACCGAATGCGGCAGTGCGAGGCGAATGTGGGACCTGAGTTTGAGGCCAGTGACAAGTTACTACCGCGAGCCGTGGCGGGGGCCAATGCTGACCCTGCCCTGTGGCTCCGTGGCATCCCCTCTGTCGCTCTCACTACGCCCGCATTCGAGCCATTGACTGGGAGGGACGGGTGGGAGTTTGTTGGTGCGGTGCGGGAGGGGTTGCCGTCGTGGGAAGGAGCTCGTAACGCTGAGGGCGAGTTGTTTCTTTTTGGCGACGGGTCTGGCGGCGCCTTTTCCGACGACGTCAGGCGACGCCGTGTTGGTTCTGGCCTCGCGGCCCTCCGATGGGACCCACCCTCGGCCTCCTGGACCCTCCGCGCGGGCCTCCTCGCCCCCCTCCCAGGCCCCCGCCAGACCGTCCCAAGAGGCGAATTGCATGCGGTTTGCCTGGCACTGGGGACGTGCCAGCAGGATTTCACGTTTGTTACTGATCACCTAGCCCTGCAGCGCGGCTGGCAGAATGGCAGATGTCTCAGACCTGGCAGCCTCAGAGGCAAGAATAAGAATGGGGATCTCTGGCTGAGAATTCGGCACCTCGTGCAAGATCGATCTGGCGGCTGCTCTTCTGTCACGGTGCTCTGGACCCCATCTCACGCCGATCCCCTCACGTTGCATGGTTTCCAAAAATTTCTGGCTCTCGGCAACCAGCATGCCGACGAGCTCGCGGGAAGCGCGGCCCACAAGTCGGCCACCCTTGCCCTCCCGCCCGTCCCCAGGACTGATGAATACGACGCTATTGCAGCCATCGTCCGACAGAGGGCACGACTGATTCTACGTTCTTTAGGCAAGAATTCAGAGCCTCGAGGACAGTGGCCAGAGAGGCAATCCAACCAGGAGGCAGCCCCGCGCTCTCAGTTGCAGACCGCGATCGCGGCTTCTCAGCACAAATTCGAGCGGTGTGCAGACAAATGGAGATGCCCTGCCTGCCTCATCATCGTTGACGCTTGCCACGTTATTCCAGCTGCCGCCACAGAGTGTGTGCCGCCTTGCCCCCTTCCCGAGTTCGCTGCGTGTGGAGAGGTGCTGTGGTCGAGGGGTCCCCGCGTGATCAGTGGCAAGTTGATCCACCCCTCCCACACTTTGGCCACCATCCCCAAGTGGCAATTGTTTTTCTGTGTTAAGTGCGGCCACACGGCCACGCACCAGGTTAAAAGCCTACTTTTGCCGTGCCCTCTCTCCCACCAAGTGGGAGAGCGCAGGGCCCTGGGACCCACTGGCAAAGGCCTCGAGAACCTCAGCAGGATCAGGCGAGGCCTCCACCCGTCCAGATCGGGTCCCAGCAAGTCAGTGCTAGAGGCTTTGCACGTTTCGGCAGCCGAAGCCGCGATCGGTTCCTTCGCGGCGGGAGCTGCCTCCGAGTAAATTGTGAGGCCAGGGGGGCCTGTCGCGGTGGGCCGTGGGATGTCGCCCCCCACGGCCCTCCGAGAAATACTGGATGGCCCCCCTGGCATCTCTGGGTTCCGAACGGACTACGTCCGATTGCTCCACTCCACTCCACTCCTCCTTCTCGTCATCCTCCTCGTCATCATCATCATCATCATCATCATCATCAGCAGCAGCAGCAGCATCATCAGCTGCTGCAGCAGCAACAGCAGCAACATCGTCATCGTCATCATACCCAGCGTCAGCATCAGCGTCATCATCATCAGCAGCAGCATCATCACCATCATCAGCATCATTAGCGTCATCGGTATCATCGTCATCATCAGCAACATACCATCAGCATCAACAACCTCATCATCATCGTCATCCTCAGCAGCAGCATCGTCAGCATCATCATCATCATCATCATCATCATCATCATCATCATCATCATCATCATCCCCATAGCACAATCAGCATCATCATCACCACCATCATCAGCAGCGTCCTCAGCAGCATCAGCGTCAGCATCATCATCATCATCATCACCAGCAGCATCACCATCATCACCAGCATCGTCATCGTCATCATCATAATCATCATCACAACCACCATCATCAACAGCAGCATCAGCATGGTAATCATCATCGCCATCATCATCATCATCATCAGCAGCATCAGCATCACCACCATCAGCATCAGCATCAACATCATCAGCATCATCAGAAGCATCATATTCATCTGCACCAGTATCATCATCAGCATCAGCATCATCACCATCATCGTCATGAGCAACATCATCAGAATCATCATTATCATGAAAAACAGCATCAGCAGCATCTCCATGATCAGCATCATCAGCAGCAGCATCTTCATGTTCATCATCATCAGCAGCATCAGCATCATCATCAACATCAGCATAATCATCAGCATCGTCAGCATCATCATCACCGTCATAATCAGCATCAGCATCATGATCGTCGTCAGGGTCATCATCAGCATCAGCATCAGCATCGTCGTCGTCGTCAGCATCATCCTCATCATCCTCATCATCCTCATCATCAGCATCATCAGCATCATCCTCATCATCAGCATCATCATCGTCAGCATCAGCATCATCAGCATCATCAGCATCATCAGCATCATCATCAGCATCGTCATCATCAGCACTACCATCATCAGCCTCATCAGCATCATCAGCATCAGCATCATCAGCAGCAGCAGCCGCAGCAGCAGCACCAGTATCATCATCATCATCATCATCATCATCATCAGCATCAGCATCATCATCATCATCATCATCATCATCATCATCATCATCATCATCATCATCATCATCATCATCATGATCATCATCATCATCATCATGAGCAGCAGCAGCCGCAGCAGCAGCATTAGTATCAGCATCAGCAGCAGCATCTTGATTATCATCAGCCTCAGCATCCTCATCGTCGTCATCATCAGCATCATCAGCATTAACATCATCATCAGCAGCATCATCATCATCAGCAGCAGCAACGTTATCGTCATAAGCATCAGCATCAGCATCAGCATCACCATCATCATCACCTTCACCCTCGTCCTCCTGCTGCTCCTCTTCTTCCTCCCAATTTTCCTCCTCCTCCTCATCCTCCTCCTTCTCCTCATGCTCCACATGCCCCTCCCCCTCTTCCTCCTCGTCCGTCAATTCTTCGCCCTCCTCCTCCTCCTCCTCCTCCTCCTCCTCCTCCTCCTCCTCCTCCTCCTCCTCCTCCCCCTACTACTACTGACTCCCTCTCCTCCTCCCCCTCCTCCACGTCGGATCCGGACGCCCAGCGGCGCGCGTGCGCGCTCGCCCCCCAAACCCCCTGGCCTGAGCAGCAAGAACCGCTCGCCCGCGGCGTCCTCGCCGACGGAGACGGACACCTCGGTGCGTGGCAGGATCAGTCGGCATCGAGATGATCGGCACTGGCGTCGGATCGGGCCACACTGGCACGGAGTCGATCTCGAATCGGAACGGCCGCGCCAGAATGCATAACTACGCCCTGCAAGCATCGGGCCGCGCCGAGTCGTCAGAACATCGGAATCGGATTGGATCGGGCTGGCCTGAATCGATATCGAATCGGATCGATCGGTTCGATGTGGGCCCTGCTGGAAGGCGGGGACCACGGCTGATCGGCGACGAGGCACGGAGACACCTCGAGCGGACTCCAGAGGCCCACAGTGGGGGAAACAACAAATCAGGCTCGAATCACACCACCCCTTCGGGTGCGGGTGGTGTAAGGAGTTGTTCAATTATTCTTCCCCTTCGGGGAGGGGTTGTATATGACCCTCCTCCAAGAGGCCGCCCTCCCTCTAGGCCTCAAAGAAGCCCTCAAGAAGCCCCGCAACAAACGCGGAGGAAGAGGAGGACGAATCGGCAACATCTACACGTAGGCAGCACGACGGGAAGAGCCAAACCACACAAACACACATCACACACACACACAGACCACACACACACACACACATGACATCGGAACCCGCACATCTCCTCTTCTCTTGTGGGAGCCGATGGAATGGCGCAAGCCTCTCGGAGGCCGCAAATGTCCTCTTCAGGGGTCGGCGGCATGCCGTAAGCCTCTTGAATCCACGTCGGCACGTGACGTGCTCAGCGGCAGCGTTTTCTGGCGAACGCCTGGACGCAACGTGTCCAATGAATCCAATATCGCAGAATTGCTACATGCTACTATGTGTATATATAGATGTCGCCAGATCCACGGACCAAAATAGCAAACCACTTTTGGGACCACAAAACGTACCCAAACGTATCGAACACGTGCAAATACTTAGCACCCCGCAGATGCGGATAAGAGTGAGGGGGCGGTGGGGACGTCGGCAATTTGCGAGACTCTGGAAAAGCCCGCCGAAGGCGCCAAAGTTTCACAAATTATCAGAGTGAGGGGGTCGAACGGTCATTCATTGTCCCTGGATGCGTGGCTGAAGTGGGGATCCGTGGTGAGGATTCTACTTGTTGCGTTGTTGTTTGTTGTCGTCGTCCCACCCGCGACCCACCCGCGACCCACCCCGCGACCCACCCCGCGACCCACCCCGCGACCCACACCGAGACCCGACCCAAGACCCACCCGCGACCCAACACGCGACTCACCCGCGACCCACCCCGCGACCCACCCGCGACCCACCCGCGACCCACCCGCGACCCACCCCGCGACCCACCAACAACCCACCCGCGACCCACCCGCGACCCATTTGCGACCCACCAGCGACCCACCCGCGACCGACCCACACTGGTTGAACGAAAAAATCGGCGCCTCCGGTGGGCTCGCTGTATAATGTGTGAAACTTTGGCGCCTGCGGCGGGCTTCGCCAGAGTCTCGCAAACTGCCGACGCCCCCACCGCGCCCTCGCTCTTATCCGCATCTGCGGGTTGTTACGTACCATATCATATCATACCATACCATAACATATCACACCATACCATATCGCATCACATTATCTCATCTCATCTCATCTCATCTCATATCCGATGTATCCGTGTATCAGAGTGAGGGGGGCCCAACGGTCATTCATTTATTGTCCCTGGGCGCGTGGCTGAAATGGGGATCCGTTGTGAGGATTCTGATTGTTGCGTTGCTGTTTGTTGTCGTCGTCCCACCCGCGACCCAACACGCGACCCACCCCACGACCCACCCCGCGACCCACCCCGCGACCCTACCCGCGACCCACCCGCGACCCAACCCGCGACCCACTCCGCGACCCACCCCGCGACCCACAAGCAACCCACCCGCGACACACCCGCGACCGACCCACATTGGTTGAACGAAAAAACCGAAAGAAAAAAAAGAAAAAAAAAAACAAAAAAAAAAAAAAAAAAAAAAAAAAAAAAAAAAAAAAAAAAAAAAAAAAAAAAAAAAAAAAAAAAAAAAAAAAAAAAAAAAAAAAAACGGCGCCTCCGGCGGGCTCGTTGTATAAGTTGTGAAGCCTTGGCGCCTGCGGCGGGCTTCTCCAGAATCTCGCAGCAAACTGCCGACGCCCCCACCGCCCGCTCACTCTTATCCGCATCTGCGGGGTACTACGTACAACGAGCCCGCCGCAGGCGCCGATTTTTCGTTAAACCAATGTGGGTAGGTCAAGGCTGGGTCGCGGGTGGGTCGCGGGTGGGTCGCGGGCGGGTCGCGGGTGGGTCGCGGGTGAGTCGCGGGTGGGTCGCGGGGTGGGTGACGGGGTGGGTCGCGAGGTGGTTCGCGGGGTGGGTCGGGGGTGGGTCGAGGGGTGGGTCGCGGGGTGGGTCGCGGGGTGGGTCGCGGGTGGGTTGCGGGTTGGGTCGTGGGGTGGGTCGCGTGTTGGGTCGCGGAATGGGTCGCGGGCGGGTCGCGGGTGGGACGACGACAACAAACAACAACGCAACAAGCATAATCCTCACCACGGATCCTCACTTCAGCCACGCACCCAAGGACAATGAATGTCCGTTCGGCCCCCGCACTCTGATGGCATGGTATGGCATGATACGATCTCATTTGATAAGATATGATATAGTACGATATGGTGTCATTAGATACGGTTTGATAGTATATTATATTATGTTGGGTTGCATGATGTGATACGAGATGGTATGATATGATGTGGTATGGTATGATACGATATGGTACGATATGGTATGATGCGTCACCATATGATATGATATGCTACGATATGGTATGGTATGATATGATATGATATGACACGATTTGTTTTGATGTGGCATGATATGATATGCTATGAAATGATATGATAAGATATGATGTGTAATGATATGAGATGATATGAGATCAAATGAGACGATACGATGTCATATGATATGCTATGTATTGGGACGATATGACTGACGATGGTGTGATATGATACGACCAGGTACGATATGCTACGATATGCTACGATCTGGCATGATACGGTATGCAACGAACTGGTATGATGTGAAATGGTATGGTAGTATAGTGTATGCAATAGCATGAGAAGCTCTGTCAGATTGTATGATACGGACGCACTGTTCCCCAATCAAAGCTTGCCCCTGTAGGAGTCCGAACGAATTCATATGGTTAGGTGAGGTGTGGCGCCGATTTCGGCGGCACGCCCTGTGGCCCGTTGGCCCTATAGCCCTACAGCCTTGTAGCCTTTAGTCCTATAGCCCCACAGCCCTCAGGCCCTATAGCCCTCTAGCCCTAACAGCCCGATAGCCCTATCGCCCTATAGCCCTATAGACTTATAGCATTATAGCCTTATCGCCCTGTAGCCCCATAGCCCTGCAGCCCTATAGCTTTATAGCCCTAGAACCCTATCGCCCTACAGCCCTGTAGCCCCATAGCCCTATAGCCCTATAGCCCTAAAGCCCCATATCCTTATAGCCCTATGGCCCTCTAGCCCTATAGCCCTATAGCCCCATAGCCATATAGCCATATAGCCCTATAGCCCCATAGCCCCATGGCCCCATAAAAGATTATGATTGGGGCTTCTCTCCGGTACCACCATGGTAAACGATGTTCATGCTGTATGAAGCGGCATGGCATGATATGATGTGGTATAAGATGGTATGACGTGATTGGCTGTGAACTGATGTGATATGGTATGATATTGTATGATATTGCGTGGCATAACATGGTATGGTATGATATGGTGTGATATTATATGATATGGTGTGGCATGGTATGGCATGATACAACCTGATCCGAAATACGATGACCTGATACAGCATGTTTTGAGTTGGTATGACAACATATGATATGATATGGTATAGTATATTGTGATATGGCACGGCATGCGATGATGTGATCTGATATTATATGATCTGGTATGATGTGATATGATGAAGTGCGAAACGGTATGACATGATACGGCACGACCTGACATGCGATGATGTGGTACGGTATGATATGAGTAGGTATGATAATATATGGTATTATATGGTATGGTACTGCATGGTACGGTATGGCATAATATGCGATGATATGATGTGATACGATGTGGTAATAAACCATATGGTATGGCAACATACCATCTGATATGATAGGATGCGATGTGGCATGGTATGATGTGATACGCTGTGATGTGAGATTATGGGATATAGCGTGTGGTGGTGTGGTACGAAATGGTAGGGTGTAATGTGAGATGGTATGATATGGCCTGACTTGGTATGGTGTGATGTAATATGGTATGGTATGCTACGGTACGAATTTCTATGATATGGTATGAAATAGATGATATGCTATGGCATGAAAGTATATCGGCTTCTGGGGCCTCCAGCAATCCAAGAGGGCCTCAAGACGGCCCAGTGCAGCTTCCGAAGGCCCGAGACGGCCCCAAGCTGGCCCAAGACGACCCCAAGAGAGCCCAAAGGGCTCCCAAGACGGCCCCCAAAAGCACCTCCAAAGGCAAACAAAACATGAATTGTTCCATAGGTTTTGCAAGTTGTTCCCGTCGGCCCGTTCTCGCCTTTTTTGATTCTCGGAGGCCCATGACGGCCCAATCAGCCTCCAAAATGGCCCCGAGATGGCCCCGGAGGCCCAAGAGGACCCCAAAACGGTCCAGGAGGGCCCCAAGATGGCCCACAGAGGCTTCAAAAAGGCTCAAGAGGCCCCCAAGACGGCACAAGAGGACCTCAAGAGGGCCAAAAGGCGGCTCCGAGAGGCCCCCAAGACGCCTCCGAAGGAGCCAGACGGCGCAAGAACGCCCAAAGACGGCCTAGGAGGCCCCACGAGGCCCTAAGGAAGCCCTCAAGAGGCTTCCAGTGGCTTCCGGGGGCCCTCAAAAAGCCTTCAGGATGCCTCAAAGAAGCCCCCAAACGGCTCAAAGAATCACCAAGAGGCCCGCGGAATTGTGTACCAATGACGCGATATTGCTATGCTCATCGGGATTTGATCTTGGCGTTGCCTTGTGCTGACACGCGGTAATGCTCGTTGCCCTCGTGAGCATTCCCACGCTCGTCCTGGCGCTGAAAGAAGAGGGGGCGGGGGCGGGGCGCGTCCGCCCCCCCTGGCAGCGCACTGGGGCGGGCAGAGCGACACGGCAGAACTTCTCGGCTGACGAGCAGGGCAAACCACCCAACGCCCAATCTTAACGTGCTCCAGTTGTGCGCCCCGCGAAGCAAGAGGAATACCCGTCCCCCCCATCGGCAGCTCGCCTGGGACACGAGAGGCGCCAAAAAGGTTCCCAGGCCTCCAGACCCAGACATCATCCGATCTGTTTTTTCTTGCATCCGCGGCCCCAGAGCTCCCGAACCCCTTCCCTGAGGGTGGCTTTCGTTCCCGATCAATGATTGATGGTCCTGGGCCCCGGGGAGGGCAGCCGGAGGCCGAAGTCGAGAGAAGACGCTGGGACCGAAAAAGAACAGCAGATCGTCGAATGTCTGGAGAGGTCTGGGGAAGAAACGGACAAGACCCCCTGCCGGGCCGAGGTGCCGCCGCGCGCACGCGCACCAGCACGGGCGCGACAGAGCCCGGAACCGACTCCGGCTGGTTCGGCGCGACAGGGTCGCGCACGTCCGCGGGCCTCCCCTGCTCCCCCGGGCCCTCGCGGGTGCATCCTCCCGCCTGCCCCTCCTGGAAGACGAAGGAGCAGGAGGAGGAGGAGGAGGAGGAGGAGGAGGAGGAGGAGGAGGAAGAGGAGGAGGGAGGAAAAGGAGGAGGAGGAGGGAGGAAAAGGAGAAGAAGGAGGAGAAGGAGGAGAAGGAGGAGGACGACGACGACGAGGAAGAGGAGGAGAAGGACGACGACGAGGAGGATGGGGAGGGTTTTTGTTGCTCGTTTTTGTTTCACAAAATCCGGAATGCATGAAGACAGGTTTGGTCGAGCGGACCCCACACTTCAGTCCTTCGGGAAGCTCGAGGCCATGCACCACTACTCGAAACAAAACCCACCATGCTCTCCACAAAATCGGCACCACGAAACTGCACACAGGCACACAGCCAGACCAGCCAAATGCAGCATTACATGTTGAAGATATCAGGGTGCTCCGCCACCAGCATAACGCAGATGACCGAAAGCCAAAAATACGCCAGCACCACGAACGCAAATTCATGACGCCACACGTGGTGAACAACGACCCATTCAGCCACCAACCCGTGATCTGACCCGTCGCTTGCGGGGATGGGCAGATGCCAACGAGCAAAGCGCACCAGCAGACGGTTATGAAAAACAGCGTGAGCACCTGGAGGAAGACGAGGAGCAGCAGGAGGAGGAGTGCACGCAGCCGAGTGGGCGAGTCCACGAGATCAGGCGGGAGGCGGGGCCGCCAACGACCACCAGAAGCGCAGTCGTTGAAGCGGCCGCGGAAGAGGGGGTGGAGGACTAAGACTCTCTCCTAAGAACACTATCTCTCAAGAGCCATGGGTGAGAGAGGCTGGCGAGGTCAGGGCTCTGGTCCTTAAGAGCTCAGTGCAGGGCTCGTGCCAAAACCCACTGTTGTAGCAGGCCGCACCCGCCGCCCCTCCCATTTGCGCAGGTGGCAAATGTGATATACCACGTCTGTGTAAAGCACCATCGACGCACGAGCAGCGAGCGAAGGTTGCAACAACAGACGAGATATGCGAGCATCTGCGAAATGTGGGGAACGGCGGTGGGGAAGACGGGGAGGAAGCAGAAGACGCGGGCGCGGGGAGGAAGAGGAGCGCCCACTTCTCATGTGTCTCTTTCTACTCTGATGGGCGGCGGTGGAGGAGGAGGCGGCGGAGGCGGCGCTCAGGGAACGATCAGCAAACTGGTCGGTGTTCTTCACGATGAGGCCCATGTATTCCGAGGAATTCACAGTGGACATCGTCTTGGCGGAGATCACAGCAGCGAGTACTTCCAGGTCTTCAGCGGCATGCACGCGAGCAGGACGAGCAGGAGGGCAGTATGTATCAGGATGAGTGCCCAGAGGACCGTCCCCAACAGGAAGACCATCCGCCCCAGGGTGGCGTGGACGTGCGGCCCCCGAAGCACGATGGCCAGGAGCACCGACTCCCGCACGTGGGCCAACACGAGCACAAGCACGAGGACCAGGGAGAGCAATTCCAGCAGCACGAGCATCGCGATGACCGGGTGCATCAGAAAACACGGACATCATCTCGTCCAGCATGGCGGCGGTTGCGGCGAGGCCGTCAGAGTCAAGCACGCTGCACGGCACAGCGGGCGTAGACGACTACGACCATCACCAGGACCAGGACTACCGAGTCCGGCAGAAGGCCCATCCCCACCAGCATGAGCCCCCAGAAGCACGGCTCCAGCAGGCAGCTCGGCTCCACCAGACTGGATGGAACGGCCGACTCCGGCCGCACGAATGCCAGGACCAGGAACACCTGCAGCAGAAGCCGGAAGACCAGCTGCCAAGGGTCCTGGCCGCCACTCCAAGGATCATCAGGACGGCCAGAGGGCGGACGGCATCCAGTAACACGTGGAAGAACATTCTAGGTGTGTCATCATACCCGTCTGCGTTGTCGCCAGGCGGATATACTCCGCCAAGATCAGGAGCATCTGCACGTTCATATCCTCTAGGTGCGGGCTTCACTACGATCGATACAAAACAGACGCCATCAGAATTCTTATGACAATGATCAACCGCGACCAGGGTGGGTATCTCCTGCATCAGGTGCGTCAGCCAGTGCAACAGGGAACGGTTGCACATGCTCGCATCCCACTTCGGCGCCAGGCGTAGCTTGAGGACCACCTTGCCGACGTGCGTGGGGAGGCCCATGTGAGCCTGCCGACCGGACCCCCCAGCTCAAGGAGCAGCCACTCCAGCAAGGAAAGGGTGACAATGGCAGCGCAGGGGGCGAGGGCGAGGAAGGGGAGGAGAGGGCGCACGTGCACCCGAGCGGCCGCCAAGGCGCGAGTGCACCTGAAACGGATGCAGGGAGGAGGAGAAGGAGGAGGAGCAAGAGGAGGAGGAGGACGAGGACGAGGACGAGGACGAGGACGAGAAGGAGGACGAGGAGGACGATGAGGAGGAAGAGGAGGGAGGAGGGAGAGGAATGGGGGAGAGGAGAAGAGATGCCCGAGGAAAACCGAGGAGGTCGCATGCAGGTGTGCAGAAAGTGTTTTCGGACCCTCCCCCTCCCACTCCTCCTCTGCTTGCTCCTCCTCCTCCTCCTCCTCCTCCTCAACCTCCTCCTCCTCCTCCTCATCCTCCTTCTCCTCCTCCTCCTCCTCCTCCTCCTCCTCCTCCTCCTCCTCCTCCTCCTCCTCCGCCTCCACCTCCGCCTCCGCCTCCTCCTCCCCCGCCTCCCCCTGTTCTCCCTCCCTTCAGTCCACTCCACTGGTGTGGCAACTCATGTCAAAGCCACGCGAGCCCAAACAGAACTGACTCGCCACGGGAAAAGGCGACTAGGGCAAGGCGGAGGCCAGAAATATGGCCCGCGCCGGGAGCGCAAATCTGAACGACAGAAGAAAGTCGCCGATCCTGGAATGCTGAACATGCTGCAATGAAAGCACAGGGCCCGATTGTGCACAAACAAATGGAAAGAGGACATGATTGTAATCCTGTGGGTGAGGGAACAATCTGCTGGAAGGGGGCGCACAGAACACGAGCAGGGGAGAGAGGAGAGTACTTCATTCAGATTGTGAATTCCTGAGCGAAGGGAGAAGAGGCAAGCTAGGTGCGCTCCCGCCACATCAGACGTCATACACCTCCCACCAATCCCTTCCCATGAGACTGACTTCTTGCCTGTCCACCTTCTGGGGTCTCCAAAAAGCTTGGTCGACAAAACGAGGGAGAGAGGGAAAAGGGGAAGGGAAATGGAAGCAGGTGAACGGATGACTGGATGAAAAAGTGAAAAAACGGATTGTGCAAATGAAAATCGGTGAACGGCAAATTGAACAGCGCAGTCGATGACAAAGAATACAACGCGGTAGAAAACAGGCGAGACAAACGGATGAAATAAGGATCATGGGAGAAAATGATGAAGCAGATGGAATGGACAGAGGAAGGGGTTATGGATGAAGAAAGAGAGGGAAGAGACGCAAGTTGAAAAAGGGATAGGGAAGGAGGGCAGAGATACGGCAGCTGGCCGCATGTCCGAGAACGCCTCACCTGCTATCCTCCAATCCTTCTCCTGATTATGATGCTCATTATCAGTGTACGTGTTCTCTTCCTCCTCTTCCTCCTCAGCATCATCATCAACAACCGAATCAGCAGTATCATCATCAGCATCATCATCGCCACCATCATCATCATCATCATCATCATCATCATCATCATCATCAGCAGCATCATCATCCGTATGGTCATCCTCATCAACATCATCATCGTCATCACCAGCATACACATCAGCATCAGCATCAGCATCCATGACCGCCTCGTCCATCCAGTCAAACTCCTTATCATCGATATTCAGTATTCCGCCTCCTCATCCTCCGTCTCCTCCTCTTCGGCATCAGCATCATCACCAGCATCAGCATCATCATCAGCATCATCATCATCAGAAGCATCAGCAGCATCAGCATCATCATCGTCATCATCATCAGCATCACCATGAGCAGTTTCCTCCTTGTCGTCCGCCGCCTGCTCCTGCTCCCCCTCCGCCTCCTCCTCATCAGCATCAGCATCATCAGCATCGTCAGCATCAGCATCATCATCATTATCATCAGCATCATCAGCAGCAGCAGCCTCATCATCAGCATCAGCATCATCAGCATCAGCATCACCATCATCAGCATCCCTCTTCAACCATCCCTCGTGCCACCGCCATCCTTCTCGTGCCTCCTCCTCCTCCTCCTCCTCCTCCTCCTCCTCATCGTCCTCCTCCTCCTCCGCCTCCTCCTCCACCCATGTCCATATCCTCATCCTCCTCCTCCTCCTCGTTCCTCCTCTCCTCCTCCTCCTCCTCCTCTCTCTCCTCCTCCTCCTCCTCCTACGCCTCCGCCTCCTCCTCCTCCTCTTCCTCCTCATCCTCCTCATCATCCTCGTCCTGCTCATCCTGCTCCTCCTCATCCTCATCCTCCTCCTCCTCCTCCTCCTCCGCCTCCTCCTCACCTTCGTACGTCTCCTCCTTCCCCTCCTCATTCGCACTCTTCTCTCCGTCCTCATCCTCATCGTCGACACCCCCACCGTCGTCACCATCCGCGTCCTCCCCATCCTGCTGCCACTGCCGCTGCCACCGCCGCCACCAGCACCGCTGCCGCTGCGGCGGGCGTCCCCCCTCGGTTCGTCCACACCCGGGGCGGCCCGCGCCTGACGCCCGCGACGCTGGCAAGAGCGCGCACGAACGCCCTCCTCGCCTCGTCCGTCACCAGCTCCTGGCAGCCGCCCCAGACCTCCTCCTCCTCCTCCTCCTCCTCCTCCTCCTCTTCCTCCTCCTCCTCCTCCTCCTTCTCCTCCTCCTCCTCCTCCTCCTCCTCCTCCTCCTCCTCCTCCTCCTCCTGCGAATTCTCCTCCTCCGCCTCCGCCGCCCCAGACCTCCTATTTTTACCCAGTTTCGGCTCGAGTTCACGCACTGCCTGCGCTATGCTTCTCCGGAGACGGATCGGCAACGCCCTGTGGGAGCGCGAGGGGGCGGAGGGCGCGAGGAGAGGGCTGGCCGAGGAGAGAAGGGGAAGGAGAGGGAGAGGGCTGGACCCCTCCGCAGGACAGCAGAGAACTGTTGGTACGGTCGCCGTGCTGACATGAGAGGCGCCAGGCAGGAAGCGAAGAGGCCTTTCTGGTCACGGGAGCCCAAAGCACGAGCAGGTTCCGCGACCCAGCGCTGACGAGCGGCCAGAAAACTAGACTAGACGACGACGACGACGACGACGACGACGACGACGACGACGACGACGACGACGACGACGACGACGACGACGACGACGACGACGACTGCACGGTGCCTCCGACGTGCGCCACGAGCCCTCACGACCTCCCGCCCGTGCGCCGCGTGCGGGGTGCCCACGCCCCGCGAGCGCCCGCGGGGCGGGACAGCTTCGGCAGCCGGCACATCCTCCGCCTGCTGCGCCTGCTCGATCACCGCCTCCACCTCCTTCTCCTCCGCCTCCTCTGCCTCCTCGTCCTGCGCCGCCTCGTCCTGCACCCCCTCCGCTGCTCCCCCGGCCTCGGCCTCCACCACCGCGTGTTTGCCTGCTTCAATCCACACCACGACCCGCATACCCCGTCTCATCCTCATGTTCCCCATCCCCCATCCACTCTTCCTCCTGATGTACCTCATGTTCTCCTCCTCATCTCATCCCCTCATCCGCCTCCCTCTGCTCCCTTTCCTCATCCTGCTCATCCTCCTCGTGTTTCTGCCCGCGTCTCGTCGCCATCCTCGCTGACCCCCATCCGCACCTCCACCTCCGTATCCTACTCCCAATCCCGCCGCCTCAGCTTCCGTGTCAATACCCCTCCTCAGGAGAAGCCAGCATCGAATTGGGAACTCTGGTCGAATCGAACTGTGCGTCAAATAGAGATGCATCGGCACGGGATCGAAAGCGAATCGGATCGGCTGCGCCACGACGCACAACAGCGCCATGCGAGCATCGGAACGTATCGAACCATCAAACCATCGGAACCGAATCATATCCAACCGGCCAGAATTGGTATCGACTCAGATTGATCGGATCGAAATGGACCCTGCCTCTGCGACGACGCATCTGGCATCAACCTCGGCCACGCGCAGGAGAGGCCCTGGGCGGGAGTGACCTTTGGTGCGCGGCTTTAGGAGGCCGCGGGGGGGGGGGCGGGGAGGGCTCCGGCACCAAGGGTCACTCTGGCAGGGGGTCACTCTCATGCGCAGCCGAGCTCAACCCGAGCATCGTGTAGCCGATCCCCATCACCACTGGCACGGCCTTGGCACCGCTGACCGACTT